AAAAATATTACCGATCACATTCCTCAATTCCCGCGTCCAAATACAGGGCAGCCAATACAGCCTCGAAAGTATTTGCCAACGATTTCCGGAAGTCTTCTTCATCACACAAGTCAATTCCATGTGCATACATCATCCAGTCTCCCAGATGCAGTTTCTGGAACGAAAAAGATTGTTTTTTTTTCACTGCTAGGAAGACCTGCAAGATTACCTTGCCAAGAGCGGCAAGATTCCGATTTTGGACAAGAGCACTTCGATAGGTGGCAAGACCTCCTTCCTCTTGATGGGGAAGAATGAAGAAGAGCCTGCTCGAAACCACCTGAAGGACTGACATAAAGATGACGACATTCGGTATTGTTGGCGATTACTGGGATCTACGTGCCCATTGGAACAGGATAGGCAACGTATGACTGACTGCAACTTACCAATTCCACTACCGCATCTCCGAGATACTCTAGCCGCTCGTTATGTGCAATTTTGGACAATCCTGCACTGCTTGAGCCAGATTGAGCCATGATATGCATTAGATTTCGGAATCCTGCATTAAAAATCTACTGAGGAACGGAAAAGATAGCAGAAAGGCTTCACACACCTTTTTTCTTTTCATTATTTTCCGTAAAAGGTGCATATCGGCGAAATGAGCAATTGGTGAGCGCCGTCTTCACATGATCCACATTTGTTCCTAGAAAAATATATTTGAATAGTTAGATTGGTCACAAAAATGAGATCCGTACTACAAAAGCGGACATAGACCTCAAATGAAAGTCGCTTACCAAAATCGTTTTTGTAAGAAGGATGAGTGAAAGCTAGTTCAATAAGCGTCCGATTGATGAAATTGTGGCCAATGATCTTCTCGAACTCCTGAATAAGCATAAAAAGGGAACTATGAAGATCTCAACAGAACTGTGAGTACGAACCAACAAAGACCAATGAAACCGGGCATGTTTCACTGCAAGCACCAAAAGCAAGATATGTGCCGTTATGTCCGCATAGAGACCAGTAGCGTAGAATCCTGTGCAGGGTATGATTCTGATGGCATTGAGCGCACTAGCCCTGAAGCCAGACATTCAACGACTCGCAAAGGGTAAACAGATTATGGTAAACATTGACAACATTCAAAATACGAAAATTTCTAGCTTATGTCAACCGCACAGATCACAGCAACTGAATTTTTATGCTGCCACAGCTTCATATGTTTGAATGTACGCCTCTAACCTCTTCAAAAACTCCACAGTAAACTTCCGCACCGCGTGATTTGGCAGATAGAGCACGCGATAGATGGATAAAATGCATCCGCTACGTTTCTGAAAGATGAAGCCAAAATTTGAAAAATTACCTTTGTTGTTTGAGTTCGCTGATGCGCTTGAGTAAAGCATTAATATCTTCCAACTGCTCCCTTTCCGACTGTCCCGAGTTCAAGCTAGACTGTGATCGGCGCAGTTTACTTAGACGACGCTGTGCTTCTACTAGCTCAGGATTCTTGAGGTTTGCATAAGCAATAGGTCTGAAAAAACAATGATAAGCAGAGGTTTGCAAAGCTGCTAGACGAAAAGAAGACGCACGGTGATGTCTTATGCTCTATACCAAGCCCAAAACCATTATTCATTCTCTTGATGTTATCAACACGGATAGTTGAAGGTCTCTGAAAGAGCTAGGTTTGTCTTGTGAAATAAAATCAAAACAAAGCTTGTTCCTCAGAACCACTCCTTACTAGAATGATTTCCAGAAAGACAAAATGATCACTTCAAAACTGTATATCTATCTGCTTAATCTGATAAAAAGACATCCTTGAAAAGGCATACCTTTTTGGGATTTGTGGCTAGCTGAAATTTCTTGGACAACAGTGCTTTCGTTAATTCCGCATCCGTGCAGTTTTCCACGCGTTCATACTCATCATCGGTCACCAACGGCTTGAAAGAATCGCAGAGATAACGAATAACCTCGCTCATAGGCAATAGACGCCGGCATCCACCTGTGAACAATCCTTACCGTATTCTGAAGTTGTGACTTCACAAAGTCTACGATAGGGCTATGTATTGAGCATTTTCAATACCCTAAAATCTTACAGAGAAGTCCGCTTGAAGGCACCGTCTACCCAAATTCTAGACTTCCATGTTTTGGTCGCCTCTA